TTTTTTTGGATCAATCAATAGGTATTGACGAGACCAATACATTTCAGTTAAAATTTTTATCTAGCATGAAAACTGTGGGCGTCACAGGTTTGGGCGGCTTGTGGGCGTTAGAGTGGGGTGGCAAACTTTTTTTTAGATCAATCGATAGGTATTGATGAGGAGAATACATTTCAGTTAAAAATTTTACTCTAGCATCAAAACTGTAGGAGCACAGTTTTGGGCGGTTTGTGGGCGTGGCACATTGCTGAAACAAACTTGCGCTGCGTAAGAAGCTCAGGAATCTGCACGCCAAATCTCAATAGCCTAGCTCTTATAGTTTCGAGAGCTCAACGTTCATCCGGACAGACGGACATGGCTACATCGACTCGGCTAGTGATCCTGATAAGAATATATATACTTTATGGGGTCGGAAACGCTTCCTTCTGCCTGTTATTACTTTCCGATGAATCTAGTATACCCTTTTACACTACGAGTAACGGGTATAAATACTACAAATTCTTTAAAGTGCATTAAAAACAAAGAAAACGCAACAGTCGAGGCCTCGACTATTAGTTACCCGTTACTCAGCTAAAGGGAGTGCGAGAGGGATGGAGCAACTATGCTTTTTCACTAACACACCTAGCCTATACCGTCACCTAGATCGACGTCACCTAGCGCCCCTAGCTCCTTGATTGATTAAAAAAAAAAAACAATCAGCGACCATCTTGCCGCTAAGGTTCTTAAGTGACATCAGCAATTTCAGGCTACAGTGAGCGGCATCATTTCGATGTAGGGTCTGAACCGTTTATTGCGTAGCACTCCTCCGTCACGCTATAGTTTCGCTTGCAAGGATTGAGTTTCAGGAAGAAAAATGTTGAGCCTTTACCTTCCTCCGCTTTTTTCGAAGCATTGCATTGGAGAAAATATATCTTCTTAGAGTCTGTATGACGCAACACTGCCGTTGTCATGAACGCTTCCTTCAGTCGCCTCATAGCTTCCATGGCCTTCTTGATCATTTTGTCTGTCAGTGGGGCTGCCAGCTCCGCAAAATTTTGGAAAAACCTCCTTGCAACTTCTTTGAATCGGCTTATTTTTGATCGCCTCCACCTTGCCAGGATCAATTTTTAAAACTCCTATGCCACTAAAGAATAACAAAGTCCGAAGCTCTTTAAAGCAGAAGTGGTACTTCTTAAGCCCGGTAGTCAGACCTGCTTCATTCGGGCATGGATAGACTTCCCTCAGAGTGTCCTAGTGCTCATCCTACTCCAAATATCTTCAATGTTCTGTTCCGGATATGCATCCTTAACAGTCCTCTGGTTGAGCTTCCTAGCATTCAAGCTTATGCGGTTCTTTCCTGGCTCTTATGACACCAACGGAGCATCTCATCGATTTTCTCGTAGATCAGCTGCTGCTCTGCTGGATAAACCGGATAGTGACGACCTTTGACGGTCGTGGCACCTGGAAGCTCTATGGTATGCTTCATCTTCGCAGTTTGCCCCTTCATTTTCTTCAAACGACAGAAAGTATTTCCGGACTACCTCCAACTGCTGTTGTCCTCAGCTTCTGATGTTTCGGTTCGGTCATTATAGGCGGGTTTTCCACTTATGGGATGGCTGGGATCTTCTCAATTTCCAAAACTTCCGGTTCTACGTTGAAACTTTTCCAAATGTCCACTCACAGGTACAGCTCTGGCTCCAATGTAAGGATACGAATAGATAAATGTCCACCGTTCTGATTTTAAGAGTAGTGGGCACTGCGATTCCACCCAATATATTGTACCCCGACCCGTTTGCTTTTCGTACCATTGCGTGATATGGTCGCCATGAGGTGTTCAATTTATTGACCAGCACCCGAAAACCGTTTTTCCAGCAAGCTCACTGATGCTCCCCAGTCCAGCAATCGCATATGGAGGATCCTCCTTGCCCATATCCTGCGATCCCGATTGCTGTCACTATTAGCTGTAGTTTCTGTCTGTCCCGTTAACGTTTTCTAAGCCACTTTCAGGACTTCCTCACCCTCTTTGTGATGTCCGTCATCCCAGCCAGCTGATTCTCCCCAAATAATCGACCCCGTACCTCTTTTTATCGCCGTGCTCTATAGGGACATGTAAACCTTGTTAACTGAAACTTCCCGCCCCGATACATTCATGTTTGGAATCCGGTTTGGTTTGTGTTTTTAAATCTCCTCTTTCTTGGAACACTGATTGCCCGCTGAACATGCTAAAAACATTCCGAAAAACTGCTTGCAATTGGGGAATGGGTGCCGGCATGACGGTCAATACACTATTGTAACAAAACTGACGTACTTTAGCGGAGCCACAATGCTTAAATAGGTTACGCGGCTTCTGACAGTTTTATTGGAAACCCACTCGTTGTACAGCCTAGTACTCACACTGGGCCAGAAAGTTCATTTTTTTGACCAAAAATATGTAAGTTCCTCCCTAGGATAGTTAGAAAATATCAGCTTAAAAGATTTAACTTTTTATTAATTAAAAATAAAATGTTTTAGATTGATATATAACATACATAATCAAAGCCAAAATCAAAAAAAAATTGCATACTTTTCGGTTTTTTTATACCCGTTATTCGTAGAGTAAAAGGGTATACTAGATTCGTCGGAAAGTATGTAACAGGCAGAAGGAAGCGTTTCCGACCCTATAAATATATACATTCTTGATAATTGCCAATCTGACTGCCCTAACAGGGACTTACAAAAATGTTGCTTTAACCGGTGATTTCAACAGTAATATTTTCACTGAGTCTCTGCGCAGAACTATGATCCCTCGGACTTCGGCGAACAAATGTCACATTTCCTACCCATTTTTCAAAATCCTCACAAACCTAACTTCACGCATTTTTCGTGGATGGCGCAAGTAAAATCGTTTCATATGACCAGGTATCTGTACCACCATACTCAAACTAATGTAACTCTTTTAACTGGCAAGCATTGTATACAATTCCCAATGTTGGTTCACAGTTAGAATTTGTTATGTGCTAAACGACAAAAATATGCACAAATTGGAATTTAGCAAAGCTGTTTACCTTAAGACTGATAACGATAGGCGAAAAATCGATACAACACTATCGACGACTCGTGAGTTCAGGGAGTCGTGCAGCTTAGACAAGTCATGGAACTGGTTCCTTAAACCGGTAACTCCCAAATGAACCAAGGTTGAAATTCGAAAAGTTTGAGTGGTTTTTGGGCGAAGAGAGGCTTGAAAAATTGAATCAAAAGGGTGTTTAAAGGGCAAATATAGTTGGTCGCAGACGGTTCTGGTGGAAAAAATATATATAAGATTAGAAGTCAAGTTCCTACCCAGTGAGTGATAAAAAAATCCTTGTTAATGTGAGTGGAGTTGAAATATAAATATTTATAGAATATTCCGTGAGGGAAAAGCCTGGATCAGGAAAATATACTGACGTAAGGAGAGACGAAGACCAGCCACCAGGAGGAGATCTACATTTTCGACAAGAAAATTGGCCACATCCCCGGTGGCCCCAGGTTTTTATTCGCCCCTTATATTTGCCACCCAGAATTAGCAAAAGGTTCTCGAAAACTACAAGCGGCAAACAAATTCAACAAGCCAAAAATGAATCCAAAAAAATTGAGACTGCTGTTATTGATTATGTAACACGCCCAAATTAATTTATTCCCACTTATATCCATTTAAATTATTTATTTATTTAACCTATTTATTTACTATTGGAATATTGTTTATTGTTATTTATTTATTTATATATATATATGTGTTCCCTGTAAAAGTTCGGTACCGTAGTAGGATTATTAAATGTTAAAATTTAAGAGAAAATTGTGAATTATAACGTGAAAAGAAATGAAGTCGTGTGAGTAGAAATTCGTGTTGGGGGTGAGATGAGTTAGGCGAGTAGCACGATCCACCGAACAGGTTTGGGAGATGTGTTAAAGGATGTTGAAGGATACACTCATGGTTGGAGGACTCCAGGACCACAATAAGAGCTGTGTTGTCCAGTTCCAGATGTTCAAGAGAAATCCGTCGTGAAATTGCCGTTGTCGAGTTTGAATTTCCGTTTTTGTTTTTGTTGTGTCTGCTGCGTAGACAACATTGTTGGTTGTTCCCCTCCCTGGGATGTTCGTTGACTAGCCGTCATCTGCACTGCGCGAAAAGCAGGACACGACAAATTCTTTAACAGTAACATTGAGTTTCTAAGCCGAGTGAGCACCCATGGATTAGCACGGAAATACAAAATGCCATAAATGCGTGTGATAGGGCCTATAGAAAGTGGAAACGCTACAAAACAGAATACTTGGACAAGCAATACAGTTCCTTCAGAATAGAAGTAAATAAGTCATGCTGGATAGCTGTAAGGAAATTCTATCAACAGAAATTCAATAATGAGTCATCTGGAAAAGAATTCTGGAAGAATATTACAAGTATTGGAGTAGAAAAACAACGAGAAGGACAGCTTGCCACATTAATGCTGATGAATTAAATAACACACTTGTAAAATCACAACCTTAAGTACCTGATTAAACTTACAATCCGTACTTGAGCACATTGCCATACAACAAGTGTATGTCCTACAGTCCATGTTAAGAATAAAATCCAAAATTTTTACTAGTCCTTGTCTCCAGGCTACTCTTAACATAATACACATTTTAAATACCGCAATAACATCTTCTACATTTCTAAAATGTTGGAAGACAGCCAAACTACTTCCCATACAAAAACAAAGGGTGAATATAGACCGATATCTATACTTTTATTTTCTAAAGCACTTAAGCTACTAGTCTCCACACAAATTAATATGTATCTTCACGATAATTCACTGTTGAATACAAGACAACATCGCTTTCGGAAAAACCGTAGTTGTAAAACAGCAATCTTAAAAATCTCATAGGATATTCACATGAAATCTGATAATAGGCAAGTTACATTTCATACACTGCTAGACTATAGTAAGGCTTTCGACATTTTGCAATAAATAGAAAAACTATACAATTTTTCAAGCTATAAGCTTGATAAGAACATACCTAATGGCCGATCTCAATGTTTTGTAAAGGAGTCTGAGACCTCCGGCTTTCTATTCACTAAGCGCGGTGTCCCCCAAGGGTCGTTCCTTGGAACATTACTGTTTTCGATATATGTGAATGATCTTCCAAATGTCTGGTCTAATTGTGAAGTGCAGATGTATGCTGACGATATGCAAATATGTATGTGAGCCGTCCCTATAGCTGTATATCTGAAAATATTGTATATGTATATGTATTGACGTCATTAATACTGAACTTAAACTAGTAAGCAATTGAGCAAATAAATCCAAAAAAATCTAAATGTTTGGTTATTTCTAAAAAATAAATAAACGCACCAATGCAAATACTCAGGGTTGATACTGATGAGATTAAATATGTAAGTCAAGCAAATAACCTTGGAATTGTGTTTAACAGTACCCTTTAGTGGTCCACCATATTAATTATATGGTTGGTAAGACTTGTTGTCAACTATAGCAAATAAAACTGATCCAGAACATGTTACCAACCCATAGTAATGGCATTAGCAAAGTCGATTATAATTCCATCATTATTATATTGCGTTCAAATATTTGAAAAGTGTGACTCAATAAGTAGAAATAAATTGACCGTAACATACAACAAATAGCAAGATTTGTTTTCAATACTAAGCCACACGATTCAATTTCGAGTTATGCTAAAAAATCTTTGGACTAGACTTTTCCACATTAGTCGAATAGGACACCGATTCCTTTCCACAAAATAGTCACCTTGCACTGTCAACCAGAACTAATAGTATAATACCAAAGAAACCACTACTCCTCGAGAAAATCACTTCTTTGCATGGGCTGTTAAGCTTTGGAATAATTTACCACACAGTTTAAAGAATTCAAGAAGTGCTAGACTGTTTCGAAAAGAATTATTATTAAAGTTAAAAATAACTAGCCCCCATTCACACACAACTAATTATACATTCAACATTATACTAAATAAGAATTGAAAATTGTACTATTGATAACCATTACCTATAAAATAATCAAAACGTGTATGTTAAAGTAATTTTTGTAAAACTTTCTGTAAGACTGTAAATCTTTTCTTGTGACTAGTTATATTTTTAGCGCTAGAAAGATAAATAAATAATATTAATAATAACAAGACGCAATGAGTATCTTAAATCTGTAGATTCCCTAACCGTCCGTGTCTGTCTGATATTATTTTGTTAACTCGCGCGAATTAGCCATGTCGCTGTTAACTTCCTCCTTTTTGCTGATTGCGATATGCCAGTTTAAAATATCTGACATAGTCGTCGGCTACTTTCTGTCTCGGTCTTGTTAATCCATAAATCTATATTTATTATATCTATATACTTAAATATGGCTATATCATAGGCTTATATCACATATGGTAAAAATGTTTCTTTGCATTACATATCGCAAGTCAACTCCGTTGCTTAGTCGAGCTTAAAAGGTATATGCTTATCCACCACGCGAACACTTTTTATCTTAGGGACCCTCTATTAATGAACGATCTCCCAAAGGGAGATTATAGTAACCTGTGTGGTTCTGTGAGCTTTTGCCAGGCTAGCTAAATCCAGGGCCCCGCTACAACGATAAATATAACGTCGACTCACATGAACGGAGGCTCAACATTTAACAATACAGTAAGCTGCACGTTGGCATTACAATTTAAATTAAAAAACTAAAACAACATCTCACAGCACACTCATATGTCAACAATTTGTTGGGTATCCGCGGTGGACTGAAAGTTTTATTTCTATTGCAGATAGAATAGAATATAAGTCGGAACGAGCCAGATCGGAAAACTACACACTGTTGCTCCAATAATAATGATAAACAAAAAATAATTTTTAAAAAAATCTAACAAAAAATACAACTTATACTCTTGGTAATATCATTGTTTTAATATTTCAGAATTTTGAATACAACTTAAAAAGAAATCGGACGACTGTATCATATAGCTACCATAGGATCTATCCGATAATTAAGGGGAAAATAATATCAAAAAATGTATAGCTTCGTTATTTTTTATCAAATTCTCTTCCACTCCAGTACTTTATCTTTTTAATATTTCAGAATTAAGAATTCAATTTAATTCGAATCGAACTATTGTATCATATAGCTGCTATAGAAAGGATCGGAAAATAAATGTCAAAATAACACAAAGACCGTTATATTTCGTTTTCGGTAAGCATATACGGTAGTTAATTAAAATTTACCATTATCTTAATATTTCTGTAATTACTTTTTAGGTTTCTAAGAATCGAACCGCTCTGTACATACAATGGTCCCATTGGAACGACCAAAAATTTTTTTTGGATCAATCAATAGGTATTGACGAGACCAATACATTTCAGTTAAAATTTTCTATCTAGCATGAAAACTGTGGGCGTCACAGGTTTGGGCGGCTTGTGGGCGTTAGAGTGGGCGTGGCAAACTTTTTTTTAGATCAATCGATAGGTATTGATGAGGAGAATACATTTCAGTTAAAAATTTTACTCTAGCATCAAAACTGTAGGAGCCACAGTTTTGGGCGGTTTGTGGGCGTAAAAGTGGGCGTGGCACATTGCTGAAACAAACTTGCGCTGCGTAAGAAGCTCAGGAATCTGCACGCCAAATCTCAAATTCTTTAACAGTAACATTGAGTTTCTAAGCCGAGTGAGCACCCATGGATTAGCACGGAAATACAAAATGCCATAAATGCGTGTGATAGGGCCTATAGAAAGTGGAAACGCTACAAAACAGAATACTTGGACAAGCAATACAGTTCCTTCAGAATAGAAGTAAATAAGTCATGCTGGATAGCTGTAAGGAAATTCTATCAACAGAAATTCAATAATGAGTCATCTGGAAAAGAATTCTGGAAGAATATTACAAGTATTGGAGTAGAAAAACAACGAGAAGGGACAGCTTGCCACATTAATGCTGATGAATTAAATAACACACTTGTAAAATCACAACCTTAAGTACCTGATTAAACTTACAATCCGTACTTGAGCACATTGCCATACAACAAGTGTGATGTCCTACAGTCCATGTTAAGAATAAAATCCAAAATTTTTACTAGTCCTTGTCTCCAGGCTACTCTTAACATAATACACATTTTAAATACCGCAATAACATCTTCTACATTTCTAAAATGTTGGAAGACAGCCAAACTACTTCCCATACAAAAACAAAGGGTGAATATAGACCGATATCTATACTTTATTTTTATCTAAAGCACTTAAGCTACTAGTCTCCACACAAATTAATATGTATCTTCACGATAATTCACTGTTGAATACAAGACAACATCGCTTTCGGAAAAACCGTAGTTGTAAAACAGCAATCTTAAAAATCTCATAGGATATTCACATGAAATCTGATAATAGGCAAGTTACATTTCATACACTGCTAGACTATAGTAAGGCTTTCGACATTTTGCAATAAAATAGAAAAACTATACAATTTTTCAAGCTATAAGCTTGATAAGAACATACCTAATGGGCCGATCTCAATGTTTTGTAAAGGAGTCTGAGACCTCCGGCTTTCTATTCACTAAGCGCGGTGTCCCCCAAGGGTCGTTCCTTGGAACATTACTGTTTTCGATATATGTGAATGATCTTCCAAATGTCTGGTCTAATTGTGAAGTGCAGATGTATGCTGACGATATGCAAATATGTATGTGAGCCGTCCCTATAGCTGTATATCTGAAAACATATTGTATATGTATATGTATTGACGTCATTAAACTAGTAAGCAATTGAGCAAATAAATCCAAAAAAATCTAAATGTTTGGTTATTTCTAAAAAATAAATAAACGCACCAATGCAAATACTCAGGGTTGATACTGATGAGATTAAATATGTAAGTCAAGCAAATAACCTTGGAATTGTGTTTAACAGTACCCTTTAGTGGTCCCACCATATTAATTATATGGTTGGTAAGACTTGGTGTCAACTATAGCAAATAAAACTGATCCAGAACATGTTACCAACCCATAGTAATGGCATTAGCAAGTCGATTATAATTCCATCATTATTATATTGCGTTCAAATATTTGAAAAGTGTGACTCAATAAGTAGAAATAAATTGACCGTAACATACAACAACAAAGCAAGATTTGTTTTCAATACTAAGCCACACGATTCAATTTCGAGTTATGCTAAAAAAATCTTTGGACTAGACTTTTCCACATTAGTCGAATTTAGGACACCGATTCCTTTCCACAAAATAGTCACCTTGCACTGTCAACCAGAACTAATAGTATAATACCAACAAGAAACCACTACTCCTCGAGAAAATCACTTCTTTGCATGGGCTGTTAAGCTTTGGAATAATTTACCACACAGTTTAAAGAATTCAAGAAGTGCTAGACTGTTTCGAAAAGAATTATTATTAAAGTTAAAAAATAACTAGCCCCCATTCACACACAACTAATTATACATTCAACATTATACTAAATAAGAATTGAAAATTGTACTATTGATAACCATTACCTATAAAATAATCAAAACGTGTATGTTAAAGTAATTTTTGTAAAACTTTCTGTAAGACTGTAAATCTTTTCTTGTGACTAGTGTTTTATATTTAAGTTATATTTTTAACTTTAGCGCTAGAAAGATAAATAAATAATATTAATAATAACAAGACGCAATGAGTATCTTAAATCTGTAGATTCCCTAACCGTCCGTGTCTGTCTGATATTATTTTGTTAACTCGCGCGAATTAGCCATGTCGCTGTTAACTTCATCCTTTTTGCTGATTGCGATATGCCAGTTTAAAATATCTGACATAGTCGTCGGCTACTTTCTGTCTCGGTCTTGTTAATCCATAAAATCTATATTTATTATATCTATATACTTAAATATGGCTATATCATAGGCTTATATCACATATGGTAAAAATGTTTCTTTGCATTACATATCGCAAGTCAACTCCGTTGCTTAGTCGAGCTTAAAAGGTATATGCTTATCCACCACGCGAACACTTTTTATCTTAGGGACCCTCTATTAATGAACGATCTCCCAAAGGGGAGATTATAGTAACCTGTGTGGTTCTGTGAGCTTTTGCCAGGCTAGCTAAATCCAGGGCCCCGCTACAACGATAAATATAACGTCGACTCACATGAACGGAGGCTCAACATTTAACAATACAGTAAGCTGCACGTTGGCATTACAATTTAAATTAAAAACAACTAAAACAACATCTCGCAGCACACTCATATGTCAACAATTTGTTGGGTATCCGCGGTGGACTGAAAGTTTTATTTCTATTGCAGATAGAATAGAATATAAGTCGGAACGAGCCAGATCGGAAAACTACACACTGTTGCTCCAATAATAATGATAAACAAAAAATAATTTTTAAAAAATCTAACAAAAAATACAACTTATACTCTTGGTAATATCATTGTTTTAATATTTCAGAATTTTGAATACAACTTAAAAAGAAATCGGACGACTGTATCATATAGCTACCATAGGATCTATCCGATAATTAAGGGGAAAATAATATCAAAAAATGTATAGCTTCGTTATTTTTTATCAAATTCTCTTCCACTCCAGTACTTTATCTTTTTAATATTTCAGAATTAAGAATTCAATTTAATTCGAATCGAACTATTGTATCATATAGCTGCCATAGAAAGGATCGGAAAATAAATGTCAAAATAACACAAAGACCGTTATATTTCGTTTTCGGTAAGCATATACGGTAGTTAATTAAAATTTACCATTATCTTAATATTTCTGTAATTACTTTTTAGGTTTCTAAGAATCGAACCGCTCTGTACATACAATGGTCCCATTGGAACGACCAAAAATTTTTTTTGGATCAATCAATAGGTATTGACGAGACCAATACATTTCAGTTAAAATTTTTATCTAGCATGAAAACTGTGGGCGTCACAGGTTTGGGCGGCTTGTGGGCGTTAGAGTGGGCGTGGCAAACTTTTTTTTAGATCAATCGATATCGATAGGTATTGATGAGGAGAATACATTTCAGTTAAAAATTTTACTCTAGCATCAAAACTGTAGGAGCCACAGTTTTGGGCGGTTTGTGGGCGTAAAAGTGGGCGTGGCACATTGCTGAAACAAACTTGCGCTGCGTAAGAAGCTCAGGAATCTGCACGCCAAATCTCAATAGCCTAGCTCTTATAGTTTCCGAGAGCTCAACGTTCATCCGGACAGACGGACATGGCTACATCGACTCGGCTAGTGATCCTGATATACTTTATGGGGTCGGAAACGCTTCCTTCTGCCTGTTACATACTTTCCGACGAATCTAGTATACCCTTTTACACTACGAGTAACGGGTATAAATACTACAAATTCTTTAAAGTGCATTAAAAACAAAGAAAACGCAACAGTCGATGGCCTCGACTATTAGTTACCCGTTACTCAGCTAAAGGGAGTGCGAGAGGGATGGAGCAACTATGCTTTTTCACTAACACACCTAGCCTATACCGTCACCTAGATCGACGTCACCTAGCGCCCCTAGCTCCTTGATTGATTAAAAAAAAAAAACAATCAGCGACCATCTTGCCGCTAAGGTTCTTAAGTGACATCAGCAATTTCAGGCTACAGTGAGCGCATCATTTCGATGTAGGGTCTGAACCGTTTAATTGCGTAGCACTCCTCCGTCACGCTATAGTTTCGCTTGCAAGGATTGAGTTTCAGGAAGAAAAATGTTGAGCCTTTACCTTCCTCCGCTTTTTTCGAAGCATTGCATTGGAGAAAATATATCTTCTTAGAGTCTGTATGACGCAACACTGCCGTTGTCATGAACGCTTCCTTCAGTCGCCTCATAGCTTCCATGGCCTTCTTGATCATTTTGTCTGTCAGTGGGGCTGCCAGCTCCGCAAAATTTTGGAAAAACCTCCTTGCAACTTCTTTGAATCGGCTTATTTTTGATCGCCTCCACCTTGCCAGGATCAATTTTTAAAACTCCTATGCCACTAAAGAATAACAAAGTCCGAAGCTCTTTAAAGCAGAAGTGGTACTTCTTAAGCCCGGTAGTCAGACCTGCTTCATTCGGGCATGGATAGACTTCCCTCAGAGTGTCCTAGTGCTCATCCTACTCCAAATATCTTCAATGTTCTGTTCCGGATATGCATCCTTAACAGTCCTCTGGTTGAGCTTCCTAGCATTCAAGCTTATGCGGTTCTTTCCTGGCTCTTATGACACCAACGGAGCATCTCATCGATTTTCTCGTAGATCAGCTGCTGCTCTGCTGGATAAACCGGATAGTGACGACCTTTGACGGTCGTGGCACCTGGAACCAGCTCTATGGTATGCTTCATCTTCGCAGTTTGCCCCTGTTCATTTTCTTCAAACGACAGAAAGTATTTCCGGACTACCTCCAACTGCTGTTGTCCTCAGCTTCTGATGTTTCGGTTCGGTCATTATAGGCGGGTTTTCCACTTATGGGATGGCTGGGATCTTCTCAATTTCCAAAACTTCCGGTTCTACGTTGAAACTTTTCCAAATGTCCACTCACAGGTACAGCTCTGGCTCCAATGTAAGGATACGAATAGATAAATGTCCACCGTTCTGATTTTAAGAGTAGTGGGCACTGCGATTCCACCCAATATATTGTACCCCGACCCGTTTGCTTTTCGTACCATTGCGTGATATGGTCGCCATGAGGTTCAATTTATTGACCAGCACCCGAAAACCGTTTTTCCAGCAAGCTCACTGATGCTCCCCAGTCCAGCAATCGCATATGGACGAGGATCCTCCTTGCCCATATCCTGCGATCCCGATTGCTGTCACTATTAGCTGTAGTTTCTGTCTGTCCCGTTAACGTTTTCTAAGCCACTTTCAGGACTTCCTCACCCTCTTTGTGATGTCCGTCATCCCAGCCAGCTGATTCTCCCCAAATAATCGACCCCGTACCTCTTTTTATCGCCGTGCTCTATAGGGACATGTAAACCTTGTTAACTGAAACTTCCCGCCCCGATACATTCATGTTTGGAATCCGGTTTGGTTTGTGTTTTTAAATCTCCTCTTTCTTGGAACACTGATTGCCCGCTGAACATGCTAAAAACATTCCGAAAAACTGCTTGCAATTGGGGGAATGGGGTGCCGGCATGACGGTCAATACACTATTGTAACAAAACTGACGTACTTTAGCGGAGCCACAATGCTTAAATAGGTTACGCGGCTTCTGACAGTTTTATTGGAAACCCACTCGTTGTACAGCCTAGTACTCACACTGGGCCAGAAAGTTCATTTTTTTGACCAAAAATATGTAAGTTCCTCCCTAGGATAGTTAGAAAATATCAGCTTAAAAGATTTAACTTTTTATTAATTAAAAATAAAATGTTTTAGATTGATATATAACATACATAATCAAAGCCAAAATCAAAAAAAAATTGCATACTTTTCGGTTTTTTTATACCCGTTATTCGTAGAGTAAAAGGGTATACTAGATTCGTCGGAAAGTATGTAACAGGCAGAAGGAAGCGTTTCCGACCCTATAAATATATACATTCTTGATAATTGCCAATCTGACTGCCCTAACAGGGACTTACAAAAATGTTGCTTTAACCGGTGATTTCAACAGTAATATTTTCACTGAGTCTCTGCGCAGAACTAATGATCCCTCGGACTTCGGCGAACAAATGTCACATTTCCTACCCATTTTTTCAAAATCCTCACAAACCTAACTTCACGCATTTTCGTGATGGCGCAAGTAAAATCGTTTCATATGACCAGGTATCTGTACCACCATACTCAAACTAATGTAACTCTTTTAACTGGCAAGCATTGTATATTCCCAATGTTGGTTTATTAGATTTGTTATGTGCTAAACGACAAAAATATGCACAAATTGGAATTTAGCAAAGCTGTTTACCTTAAGACTGATAACGATAGGCGAAAAATCGATACACACTATCGGACGACTCGTGAGTTCAGGGAGTCGTGCAGCTTAGACAAGTCATGGAACTGGTTCCTAAACCGGGATAACTCCCAAATGAACCAAGGTATGAAATTCGAAAAGTTTGAGTGGTTTTTGCGAAAGAGAGGCTTGAAAAATTGAAGACAAGCAAGGGTGTTTAAAGGGCAAATATAGTTGGTCGCAGACGGTTCTGGTGGAAAAAAAATATATATAAGATTAGAAGTCAAGTTCCTACCCAGTGAGTGATAAAAAAATCCTTGTTAATGTGAGTGGAGTTGAAATATAAATATTTATAGAAATTCCGTGAGGGAAAAGCCTGGATCAGGAAATATACTGACGTAAGGAGAGACGAAGACCAGCCACAGGAGGAGATCTACATTTTCGACAAGAAAATTGGCCACTCATCCCCGGGTGGCCCCAGGTTTTTATTCGCCCCTTATATTTGCCACCAGAATTAGCAAAAGGTTCTCGAAAACTACAAGCGGCAAACTTCAACAAGCCAAAAATGAATACAAAAAAATTGAGACTGCTGTTATTGATTATGTAACCCGCCCAAATTATTCCCACTTATATCCATTTAAATTATTTATTTATTTAACCTATTTATTTACTATTGGAATATTGTTTATTGTTATTTATTTATTTATATATATATATATGTGTTCCCTGTAAAAGTTCGGTACCGTAGGTAGGATTATTAAATGTTAAAATTTAAGAGAAAATTGTGAATTATAACGTGAAAAGAAATGAAGTCGTGTGAGTAGAAATTCGTGTTGGGGGGTGAGATGAGTTAGGCGAGGTAGCACGATCCACCGAACAGGTTTGGGAGATGTGTCCAAAGGATGTTGAAGGATACACTCGGTTGGGAGGGACTCCAGGACCACAATAAGAGCTGTGTTGTCCAGTTCCAGATGTTCAAGAGAAATCGTCGTGAAATTGCCGTTGTCTGAGTTTGAATTTCCGTTTTTGTTTTTGTTGTGTCTGCTGCGTAGACAACATTGTTGGTTGTTCCCCTCCCTGGGATGTTCGTTGACTAGCCGTCATCTGCACTGCGCGAAAAGCAGGACACGACAAATTCTTTAACAGTAAATTGAGTTTTTAAGCCGAGTGAGCACCCATGGATTAGCACGGAAATACAAAATGCCATAAATGCGTGTGATAGGGCCTATAGAAAGTGGAAACGCTACAAAACAGAATACTTGGACAAGCAATACAGTTCCTTCAGAATAGAAGTAAATAAGTCATGCTGGATAGCTGTAAGGAAATTCTATCAACAGAAATTCAATAATGAGTCATCTGGAAAAGAATTCTGGAAGAATATTACAAGTATTGGAGTAGAAAACAACAAGAAGGGACAGCTTGCCACATTAATGCATGAATGAAATAAATAACACACTTGTAAAATCACAACCTTAAGTACCTGATTAAACTTACAATCCGTACTTGAGCACATTGCCATACAACAAGTGTATGTCCTACAGTCCATGTTAAGAATAAAATCCAAAATTTTTACTAGTCCTTGTCTCCAGGCTACTCTTAACATAATACACATTTTAAATACCGCAATAACATCTTCTACATTTCTAAAATGTTGGAAGACAGCCAAACTACTTCCCATACCAAAAAACAAAGGGTGAATATAGACCGATATCTATACTTTTATTTTTATCTAAAGCACTTAAGCTACTAGTCTCCACACAAATTAATATGTATCTTCACGATAATTCACTGTTGAATACAAGACAACATCGCTTTCGGAAAAACCGTAGTTGTAAAACAGCAATCTTAAAAATCTCATAGGGATATTCGCATGAAATCTGATAATAGGCAAGTTACATTTCATACACTGCTAGACTATAGTAAGGCTTTCGACATTTTGCAATAAAATAGAAAAACTATACAATTTTTCAAGCTATAAGCTTGATAAGAACATACCTAATGGGCCGATCTCAATGTTTTGTAAAGGAGTCTGAGACCTCCGGCTTTCTATTCACTAAGCGCGGTGTCCCCCAAGGGTCGTTCCTTGGAACATTACTGTTTTCGATATATGTGAATGATCTTCCAAATGTCTGGTCTAATTGTGAAGTGCAGATGTATGCTGACGATATGCAAATATGTATGTGAGCCGTCCCTATAGCTGTATATCTGAAAACATATTGTATATGTATATGTATTGACGTCATTAATACTGAACTTAAACTAGTAAGCAATTGAGCAAATAAATCCAAAAAAATCTAAATGTTTGGTTATTTCTAAAAAATAAATAAACGCACCAATGCAAATACTCAGGGTTGATACTGATGAGATTAAATATGTAAGTCAAGCAAATAACCTTGGAATTGTGTTTAACAGTACCCTTTAGTGGTCCCACCATATTAATTATATGGTTGGTAAGACTTGTTGTCAACTATAGCAAATAAAACTGATCCAGAACATGTTACCAACCCATAGTAATGGCATTAGCAAAGTCGATTATAATTCCATCATTATTATATTGCGTTCAAATATTTGAAAAGTGTGACTCAATAAGTAGAAATAAATTGACCGTAACATACAACAACATAGCAAGATTTGTTTTCAATACTAAGCCACACGATTCAATTTCGAGTTATGCTAAAAAAATCTTTGGACTAGACTTTTCCACATTAGTCGAATTTAGGACCGATTCCTTTCCACAAAATAGTCACCTTGCACTGTCAACCAGAACTAATAGTATAATACCAACAAGAAACCACTACTCCTCGAGAAAATCACTTCTTTGCATGGGCTGTTAAGCTTTGGAATAATTTACCACACAGTTTAAAGAATTCAAGAAGTGCTAGACTGTTTCGAAAAGAATTATTATTAAAGTTAAAAAATAACTAGCCCCCATTCACACACAACTAATTATACATTCAACATTATACTAAATAAGAATTGAAAATTGTACTATTGATAACCATTACCTATAAAATAATCAAAACGTGTATGTTAAAGTAATTTTTGTAAAACTTTCTGTAAGACTGTAAATCTTTTCTTGTGACTAGTGTTTTATATTTAAGTTATATTTTTAACTTTAGCGCTAGAAAGATAAATAAATAATATTAATAATAACAAGACGCAATGAGTATCTTAAATCTGTAGATTCCCTAACCGTCCGTGTCTGTCTGATATTATTTTGTTAACTCGCGCGAATTAGCCATGTCGCTGTTAACTTCCTCCTTTTGCTGATTGCGATATGCCAGTTTAAAATATCTGACATAGTCGTCGGCTACTTTCTGTCTCGGTCTTGTTAATCCATAAATCTATATTTATTATATCTATATACTTAAATATGGCTATATCATAGGCTTATATCACATATGGTAAAAATGTTTCTTTGCATTACATATCGCAAGTCAACTCCGTTGCTTAGTCGAGCTTAAAAGGTATATGCTTATCCACCACGCGAACACTTTTTATCTTAGGGACCCTCTATTAATGAACGATCTCCCAAAGGGGAGATTATAGTAACCTGTGTGGTTCTGTGAGCTTTTGCCAGGCTAGCTAAATCCAGGGCCCGCTACAACGATAAATATAACGTCGACTCACATGAACGGAGGCTCAACATTTAACAATACAGTAAGCTGCACGTTGGCATTACAATTTAAATTAAAAACAACTAAAACAACATCTCGCAGCACACTCATATGTCAACAATTTGTTGGGTATCCGCGGTGGACTGAAAGTTTTATTTCTATTGCAGATAGAATAGAATATAAGTCGGAACGAGCCAGATCGGAAAACTACACACTGTTGCTCCAATAATAATGATAAACAAAAAATAATTTTTAAAAAATCTAACAAAAAATACAACTTATACTCTTGGTAATATCATTGTTTTAATATTTCAGAATTTTGAATACAACTTAAAAAGAAATCGGACGACTGTATCATATAGCTACCATAGGATCTATCCGATAATTAAGGGGAAAATAATATCAAAAAATGTATAGCTTCGTTATTTTTTATCAAATTCTCTTCCACTCCAGTACTTTATCTTTTTAATATTTCAGAATTAAGAATTCAATTTAATTCGAATCGAACTATTGTATCATATAGCTGCCATAGAAAGGATCGGAAAAAAATAAATTATATTTCGTTTTCGGTAAGCATATACGGTAGTTAATTAAAATTTACCATTATCTTAATATTTCTGTAATTACTTTTTAGGTTTCTAAGAATCGAACCGCTCTGTACATACAATGGTCCCATTGGAACGACCAAAATTTTTTTTGGATCAATCAATAGGTATTGACGAGACCAATACATTTCAGTTAAAATTTTCTATCTAGCATGAAAACTGTGGGCGTCACAGGTTTGGGCGGCTTGTGGGCGTTAGAGTGGGCGTGGCAAACTTTTTTTTAGATCAATCGATAGGTATTGATGAGGAGAATACATTTCAGTTAAAAATTTTACTCTAGCATCAAAACTGTAGGAGCCACAGTTTTGGGCGGTTTGTGGGCGTAAAAGTGGGCGTGGCACATTGCTGAAACAAACTTGCGCTGCGTAAGAAGCTCAGGAATCTGCACGCCAAATCTCAAATTCTTTAACAGTAACATTGAGTTTCTAAGCCGAGTGAGCACCCATGGATTAGCACGGAAATACAAAATGCCATAAATGCGTGTGATAGGGCCTATAGAAAGTGGAAACGCTACAAAACAGAATACTTGGACAAGCAATACAGTTCCTTCAGAATAGAAGTAAATAAGTCATGCTGGATAGCTGTAAGGAAATTCTATCAACAGAAATTCAATAATGAGTCATCTGGAAAAGAATTCTGGAAGAATATTACAAGTATTGGAGTAGAAAAACAACGAGAAGGGACAGCTTGCCACATTAATGCTGATGAATTAAATAACACACTTGTAAAATCACAACCTTAAGTACCTGATTAAACTTACAATCCGTACTTGAGCACATTGCCATACAACAAGTGTGATGTCCTACAGTCCATGTTAAGAATAAAATCCAAAATTTTTACTAGTCCTTGTCTCCAGGCTACTCTTAACATAATACACATTTTAAATACCGCAATAACATCTTCTACATTTCTAAAATGTTGGAAGACAGCCAAACTACTTCCCATACCAAAAAACAAAGGGTGAATATAGACCGATATCTATACTTTTATTTTTATCTAAAGCACTTAAGCTACTAGTCTCCACACAAATTAATATGTATCTTCACGATAATTCACTGTTGAATACAAGACAACATCGCTTTCGGAAAAACCGTAGTTGTAAAACAGCAATCTTAAAAATCTCATAGGATATTCACATGAAATCTGATAATAGGCAAGTTACATTTCATACACTGCTAGACTATAGTAAGGCTTTCGACATTTTGCAATAAATAGAAAAACTATACAATTTTTCAAGCTATAAGCTTGATAAGAACATACCTAATGGGCCGATCTCAATGTTTTGTAAAGGAGTCTGAGACCTCCGGCTTTCTATTCACTAAGCGCGGTGTCCCCCAAGGGTCGTTCCTTGGAACATTACTGTTTTCGATATATGTGAATGATCTTCCAAATGTCTGGTCTAATTGTGAAGTGCAGATGTATGCTGACGATATGCAAATATGTATGTGAGCCGTCCCTATAGCTGTATATCTGAAAACATATTGTATATGTATATGTATTGACGTCATTAATACTGAACTTAAACTAGTAAGCAATTGAGCAAATAAATCCAAAAAAATCTAAATGTTTGGTTATTTCTAAAAAATAAATAAACGCACCAATGCAAATACTCAGGGTTGATACTGATGAGATTAAATATGTAAGTCAAGCAAATAACCTTGGAATTGTGTTTAACAGTACCCTTTAGTGGTCCCACCATATTAATTATATGGTTGGTAAGACTTGGTGTCAACTATAGCAAATAAAACTGATCCAGAACATGTTACCAACCCATAGTAATGGCATTAGCAAGTCGATTATAATTCCATCATTATTATATTGCGTTCAAATATTTGAAAAGTGTGACTCAATAAGTAGAAATAAATTGACCGTAACATACAACAACAAAGCAAGATTTGTTTTCAATACTAAGCCACACGATTCAATTTCGAGTTATGCTAAAAAAATCTTTGGACTAGACTTTTCCACATTAGTCGAATTTAGGACACCGATTCCTTTCCACAAAATAGTCACCTTGCACTGTCAACCAGAACTAATAGTATAATACCAACAAGAAACCACTACTCCTCGAGAAAATCACTTCTTTGCATGGGCTGTTAAGCTTTGGAATAATTTACCACACAGTTTAAAGAATTCAAGAAGTGCTAGACTGTTTCGAAAAGAATTATTATTAAAGTTAAAAAATAACTAGCCCCCATTCACACACAACTAATTATACATTCAACATTATACTAAATAAGAATTGAAAATTGTACTATTGATAACCATTACCTATAAAATAATCAAAACGTGTATGTTAAAGTAATTTTTGTAAAACTTTCTGTAAGACTGTAAATCTTTTCTTGTGACTAGTGTTTTATATTTAAGTTATATTTTTAACTTTAGCGCTAGAAAGATAAATAAATAATATTAATAATAACAAGACGCAATGAGTATCTTAAATCTGTAGATTCCCTAACCGTCCGTGTCTGTCTGATATTATTTTGTTAACTCGCGCGAATTAGCCATGTCGCTGTTAACTTCATCCTTTTTGCTGATTGCGATATGCCAGTTTAAAATATCTGACATAGTCGTCGGCTACTTTCTGTCTCGGTCTTGTTAATCCATAAAATCTATATTTATTATATCTATATACTTAAATATGGCTATATCATAGGCTTATATCACATATGGTAAAAATGTTTCTTTGCATTACATATCGCAAGTCAACTCCGTTGCTTAGTCGAGCTTAAAAGGTATATGCTTATCCACCACGCGAACACTTTTTATCTTAGGGACCCTCTATTAATGAACGATCTCCCAAAGGGGAGATTATAGTAACCTGTGTGGTTCTGTGAGCTTTTGCCAGGCTAGCTAAATCCAGGGCCCCGCTACAACGATAAATATAACGTCGACTCACATGAACGGAGGCTCAACATTTAACAATACAGTAAGCTGCACGTTGGCATTACAATTTAAATTAAAAACAACTAAAACAACATCTCGCAGCACACTCATATGTCAACAATTTGTTGGGTATCCGCGGTGGACTGAAAGTTTTATTTCTATTGCAGATAGAATAGAATATAAGTCGGAACGAGCCAGATCGGAAAACTACACACTGTTGCTCCAATAATAATGATAAACAAAAAATAATTTTTAAAAAATCTAACAAAAAATACAACTTATACTCTTGGTAATATCATTGTTTTAATATTTCAGAATTTTGAATACAACTTAAAAAGAAATCGGACGACTGTATCATATAGCTACCATAGGATCTATCCGATAATTAAGGGGAAAATAATATCAAAAAATGTATAGCTTCGTTATTTTTTATCAAATTCTCTTCCACTCCAGTACTTTATCTTTTTAATATTTCAGAATTAAGAATTCAATTTAATTCGAATCGAACTATTGTATCATATAGCTGCCATAGAAAGGATCGGAAAATAAATGTCAAAATAACACAAAGACCGTTATATTTCGTTTTCGGTAAGCATATACGGTAGTTAATTAAAATTTACCATTATCTTAATATTTCTGTAATTACTTTTTAGGTTCTAAGAATCGAACCGCTCTGTACATACAATGGTCCCATTGGAACGACCAAAAATTTTTTTGGATCAATCAATAGGTATTGACGAGACCAATACATTCAGTTAAAATTTTTTATCTAGCATGAAAACGTGGGCGTCACAGGTTTGGGCGGCTTATGGGCGTTAGAGTGGGCGTGGCAAACTTTTTTTTAGATCAATCGATAGGTATTGATGAGGAGAATACATTTCAGTTAAAAATTTTACTCTAGCATCAAAACTGTAGGAGCCACAGTTTTGGGCGGTTTGTGGGCGTGGCACATTGCTGAAACAAACTTACGCTGCGTAAGAAGCTCAGGAATCTGCACGCCAAATCTCAATAGCCTAGCTCTTATAGTTCGAGAGCTCAACGTTCATCCGGACAGACGGACATGGCCTACATCGACTCGGCTAGTGATCCTGATCAAGAATATATATACTTTATGGGGTCGGAAACGCTTCCTCTGCCTGTTATATACTTTCCGACGAATCTAGTATAACCCTTTTACACTACGAGTAACGGGTATAAATACTACAAATTCTTTAAAAGTGCATTAAAAACAAAGAAAACGCAACAGTCGATGGCCTCGACTATTAGTACCCGTTACTCAGCTAAAGGAGTGCGAGAGGATGGAGCAACTATGCTTTTTCACTAACACACCTAGCCTATACCGTCACCTAGATCGACGTCACCTAGCGCCCCTAGCTCCTTGATTGATTAAAAAAAAAAAACAATCAGCGACCATCTTGCCGCTAAGGTTCTTAAGTGACATCAGCAATTTCAGGCTACAGTGAGCGGCATCATTTCGATGTAGGGTCTGAACCGTTTGATTGCGTAGCACTCCTCCGTCACGCTATAGTTTCGCTTGCAAGGATTGAGTTTCAGGAAGAAAAATGTTGAGCCTTTACCTTCCTCCGCTTTTTTCGAAGCATTGCATTGGAGAAAATATATCTTCTTAGAGTCTGTATGACGCAACACTGCCGTTGTCATGAACGCTTCCTTCAGTCGCCTCATAGCTTCCATGGCCTTCTTGATCATTTTGTCTGTCAGTGGGGCTGCCAGCTCCGCAAAATTTTGGAAAAACCTCCTTGCAACTTCTTTGAATCGGCTTATTTTGATCGCCTCCACCTTGCCAGGATCAATTTTTAAAACTCCTATGCCACTAAAGAATAACAAAGTCCGAAGCTCTTTAAAGCAGAAGTGGTACTTCTTAAGCCCGGTAGTCAGACCTGCTTCATTCGGGCATGGATAGACTTCCCTCAGAGTGTCCTAGTGCTCATCCTACTCCAAATATCTTCAATGTTCTGTTCCGGATATGCATCCTTAACAGTCCTCTGGTTGAGCTTCCTAGCATTCAAGCTTATCGGTTCTTTCCTGGCTCTTATGACACCAACGGAGCATCTCATCGATTTTCTCGTAGATCAGCTGCTGCTCTGCTGGATAAACCGGATAGTGACGACCTTGACGGTCGTGGCACCTGGAACCAGCTCTATGGTATGCTTCATCTTCGCAGTTTGCCCCTGTTCATTTCTTCAAACGACAGAAAGTATTTCCGGACTACCTCCAACTGCTGTTGTCCTCAGCTTCTGATGTTCGGTTCGGTCATTATAGGCGGGTTTTCCACTTATGGGATGGCTGGGATCTTCTCAATTTCCAAAAACTTCCGGTTCTACGTTGAAACTTTTCCAAATGTCCACTCACAGGTACAGCTCTGGCTCCAATGTAAGGATACGAATAGATAAATGTCCACCGTTCTGATTTTAAGAGTAGTGGGCACTGCGATTCCACCCAATAGTTTGTACCCCGACCCGTTTGCTTTTCGTACCATTGCGTGATATGGTCGCCATGAGTGTTCAATTTATTGACCAGCACCCCGAAAACCGTTTTTCCAGCAAGCTCACTGATGCTCCCCAGTCCAGCAATCGCATATGGACGAGGATCCTCCTTGCCCATATCCTGCGATCCCGATTGCTGTCACTATTAGCTGTAGTTTCTGTCTGTCCCGTTAACGTTTTCTAAGCCACTTTCAGGACTTCCTCACCCTCTTTGTGATGTCCGTCATCCCAGCCAGCTGATTCTCCCCAAATAATCGACCCCGTACCTCTTTTATCGCCGTGCTCTATAGGGACATGTAAACCTTGTTAACTGAAACTTCCCGCCCCGATACATTCATGTTTGGAATCCGGTTTGGTTGTGTTTTTAAATCTCTCTTTCTTGGAACACTGATTGCCCGCTGAACATGCTAAAAACATCCGAAAAACTGCTTGCAATTGGGGGAATGGGGTGCCGGCATGACAGTCAATACACTATTGTAACAAAACTGACGTACTTTAGCGGAGCCACAATGCTTAAATAGGTTACGCGGCTTCTGACAGTTTTATTGGAAACCCACTCGTTGTACAGCCTAGTACTCACACTGGGCCAGAAAGTTCTTTTTTTGACCAAAAATATGTAAGTTCCTCCCTAGGATAGTTAGAAAATATCAGCTTAAAAGATTTAACTTTTTATTAATTAAAAATAAAATGTTTTAGATTGATATATAACATACATAATCAAAGCCAAAATCAAAAAAAAATTGCATACTTTTCGGTTTTTTTATACCCGTTATTCGTAGAGTAAAAGGGTATACTAGATTCGTCGGAAAGTATGTAACAGGCAGAAGGAAGCGTTTCCGACCCTATAAATATATACATTCTTGATAATTGCCAATCTGACTGCCCTAACAGGGACTTACAAAAATGTGCTTTAACCGGTGATTTCAACAGTAATATTTTCACTGAGTCTCTGCGCAGAACTATGATCCCTCGGACTTCGGCGAACAAATGTCACATTTCCTACCCATTTTTCAAAATCCTCACAAACCTAACTTCACGCATTTTCGTGGATGGCGCAAGTAAAATCGTTTCATATGACCAGGTATCTGTACCACCATACTCAAACTAATGTAACTCTTTAACTGGCAAGCATTGGTATACAATTCCCAATGTTGGTTCACAGTTAGAATTTGTTATGTGCTAAACGACAAAAATATGCACAAATTGGAATTTAGCAAAGCTGTTTACCTTAAGACTGATAACGATAGGCGAAAAATCGATACAACACTATCGACGACTCGTGAGTTCAGGAGTCGTGCAGCTTAGACAAGTCATGGAACTGGTTCCTTAAACCGGGTAACTCCCAAATGAACCAAGTTGAAATTCGAAAAGTTTGAGTGGTTTTGGGCGAAGAGAGGCTTGAAAAATTGAATCAAGCAAGGTGTTTAAGGGCAAATATAGTTGGTCGCAGACGGTTCTGGTGGAAAAAATATATATAAGATTAGAAGTCAAGTTCCTACCCAGTGAGTGATAAAAAAATCCTTGTTAATGTGAGTGGAGTTGAAATATAAATATTTATAGAATATTCCGTGAGGGAAAAGCCTGGATCAGGAAAATATACTGACGTAAGGAGAGACGAAGACCAGCCACCAGGAGGAGATCTACATTTTCGACAAGAAAAATTGGCCACTCATCCCCGGTTGGCCCCAGTTTTATTCCCCCTTATATTTGCCACCCAGAATTAGCAAAAGGTTCTCGAAAACTACAAGCGGCAAACAAATTCAACAAGCCAAAAATGAATCCAAAAAAATTGAGACTGCTGTTATTGATTATGTAACACGCCCAAATTAATTTATTCCCACTTATATCCATTTAAATTATTTATTATTTAACCTATTTATTTACTATTGGAATATTGTTTATTGTTATTATTTATTTATATATATATATATGTGTTCCCTGTAAAAGTTCGGTACCGTAGGTAGGATTATTAAATGTTAAAATTTAAGAGAAAATTGTGAATTATAACGTGAAAAGAAATGAAGTCGTGTGAGTAGAAATTCGTGTTGGGGGGTGAGATGAGTTAGGCGAGGTAGCACGATCCACCGAACAGGTTTGGGAGATGTGTCCAAAGGATGTTGAAGGATACACTCATGGTTGGGAGGGACTCCAGGACCACAATAAGAGCTGTGTTGTCCAGTTCCAGATGTTCAAGAGAAATCCGTCGTGAAATTGCCGTTGTCTGAGTTTGAATTTCCGTTTTTGTTTTTGTTGTGTCTGCTGCGTAGACAACATTGTTGGTTGTTCCCCTCCCTGGGATGTTCGTTGACTAGCCGTCATCTGCACTGCGCGAAAAGCAGGACACGACAAATTCTTTAACAGTAACATTGAGTTTCTAAGCCGAGTGAGCACCCATGGATTAGCACGGAAATACAAAATGCCATAAATGCGTGTGATAGGGCCTATAGAAAGTGGAAACGCTACAAAACAGAATACTTGGACAAGCAATACAGTTCCTTCAGAATAGAAGTAAATAAGTCATGCTGGATAGCTGTAAGGAAATTCTATCAACAGAAATTCAATAATGAGTCATCTGGAAAAGAATTCTGGAAGAATATTACAAGTATTGGAGTAGAAAAACAACGAGAAGGGACAGCTTGCCACATTAATGCTGATGAATTAAATAACACACTTGTAAAATCACAACCTTAAGTACCTGATTAAACTTACAATCCGTACTTGAGCACATTGCCATACAACAAGTGTGATGTCCTACAGTCCATGTTAAGAATAAAATCCAAAATTTTTACTAGTCCTTGTCTCCAGGCTACTCTTAACATAATACACATTTTAAATACCGCAATAACATCTTCTACATTTCTAAAATGTTGGAAGACAGCCAAACTACTTCCCATACAAAAAACAAAGGGTGAATATAGACCGATATCTATACTTTATTTTTATCTAAAGCACTTAAGCTACTAGTCTCCACACAAATTAATATGTATCTTCACGATAATTCACTGTTGAATACAAGACAACATCGCTTTCGGAAAAACCGTAGTTGTAAAACAGCAATCTTAAAAATCTCATAGGATATTCACATGAAATCTGATAATAGGCAAGTTACATTTCATACACTGCTAGACTATAGTAAGGCTTTCGACATTTGCAATAAAATAGAAAAACTATACAATTTTCAAGCTATAAGCTTGATAAGAACATACCTAATGGCCTGATCTCAATGTTTTGTAAAGGAGTCTGAGACCTCCGGCTTTCTATTCACTAAGCGCGGTGTCCCCCAAGGGTCGTTCCTTGGAACATTACTGTTTTCGATATATGTGAATGATCTTCCAAATGTCTGGTCTAATTGTGAAGTGCAGATGTATGCTGACGATATGCAAATATGTATGTGAGCCGTCCCTATAGCTGTATATCTGAAAATATTTGTATATGTATATGTATTGACGTCATTAATACTGAACTTAAACTAGTAAGCAATTGAGCAAATAAATCCAAAAAAATCTAAATGTTTGGTTATTTCTAAAAAATAAATAAACGCACCAATGCAAATACTCAGGGTTGATACTGATGAGATTAAATATGTAAGTCAAGCAAATAACCTTGGAATTGTGTTTAACAGTACCCTTTAGTGGTCCCACCATATTAATTATATGGTTGGTAAGACTTGTTGTCAACTATAGCAAATAAAACTGATCCAGAACATGTTACCAACCCATAGTAATGGCATTAGCAAAGTTGATTATAATTCCATCATTATTATATTGCGTTCAAATATTTGAAAAGTGTGACTCAATAAGTAGAAATAAATTGACCGTAACATACAACAACATAGCAAGATTTGTTTTCAATACTAAGCCACACGATTCAATTTCGAGTTATGCTAAAAAAATCTTTGGACTAGACTTTTCCACATTAGTCGAATATAGGACACCGATTCCTTTCCACAAAATAGTCACCTTGCACTGTCAACCAGAACTAATAGTATAATACCAACAAGAAACCACTACTCCTCGAGAAAATCACTTCTTTGCATGGGCTGTTAAGCTTTGGAATAATTTACCACACAGTTTAAAGAATTCAAGAAGTGCTAGACTGTTTCGAAAAGAATTATTATTAAAGTTAAAAAATAACTAGCCCCCATTCACACACAACTAATTATACATTCAACATTATACTAAATAAGAATTGAAAATTGTACTATTGATAACCATTACCTATAAAATAATCAAAACGTGTATGTTAAAGTAATTTTTGTAAAACTTTCTGTAAGACTGTAAATCTTTTCTTGTGACTAGTTATATTTTTAGCGCTAGAAAGATAAATAAATAATATTAATAATAACAAGACGCAATGAGTATCTTAAATCTGTAGATTCCCTAACCGTCCGTGTCTGTCTGATATTATTTTGTTAACTCGCGCGAATTAGCCATGTCGCTGTTAACTTCCTCCTTTTTGCTGATTGCGATATGCCAGTTTAAAATATCTGACATAGTCGTCGGCTACTTTCTGTCTCGGTCTTGTTAATCCATAAGATCTATATTTATTATATCTATATACTTAAATATGGCTATATCATAGGCTTATATCACATATGGTAAAAATGTTTCTTTGCATTACATATAGCAAGTCAACTCCGTTGCTTAGTCGAGCTTAAAAGGTATATGCTTATCCACCACGCGAACACTTTTTATCTTAGGGACCCTCTATTAATGAACGATCTCCCAAAGGGAGATTATAGTAACCTGTGTGGTTCTGTGAGCTTTTGCCAGGCTAGCTAAACCCAGGGCCCCGCTACAACGATAAATATAACGTCGACTCACATGAACGGAGGCTCAACATTTAACAATACAGTAAGCTGCACGTTGGCATTACAATTTAAATTAAAAACAACTAAAACAACATCTCACAGCACACTCATATGTCAACAATTTGTTGGGTATCCGCGGTGGACTGAAAGTTTTATTTCTATTGCAGATAGAATAGAATATAAGTCGGAACGAGCCAGATCGGAAAACTACACACTGTTGCTCCAATAATAATGATAAACAAAAAATAATTTTTAAAAAATCTAACAAAAAATACAACTTATACTCTTGGTAATATCATTGTTTTAATATTTCAGAATTTTGAATACAACTTAAAAAGAAATCGGACGACTGTATCATATAGCTACCATAGGATCTATCCGATAATTAAGGGGAAAATAATATCAAAAAATGTATAGCTTCGTTATTTTTTATCAAATTCTCTTCCACTCCAGTACTTTATCTTTTTAATATTTCAGAATTAAGAATTCAATTTAATTCGAATCGAACTATTGTATCATATAGCTGCTATAGAAAGGATCGGAAAATAAATGTCAAAATAACACAAAGACCGTTATATTTCGTTTTCGGTAAGCATATACGGTAGTTAATTAAAATTTACCATTATCTTAATATTTCTGTAATTACTTTTTAGGTTTCTAAGAATCGAACCGCTCTGTACATACAATGGTCCCATTGGAACGACCAAAAATTTTTTTTGGATCAATCAATAGGTATTGACGAGACCAATACATTTCAGTTAAAATTTTCTATCTAGCATGAAAACTGTGGGCGTCACAGGTTTGGGCGGCTTGTGGGCGTTAGAGTGGGCGTGGCAAACTTTTTTTTAGATCAATCGATAGGTATTGATGAGGAGAATACATTTCAGTTAAAAATTTTACTCTAGCATCAAAACTGTAGGAGCCACAGTTTTGGGCGGTTTGTGGGCGTAAAAGTGGGCGTGGCACATTGCTGAAACAAACTTGCGCTGCGTAAGAAGCTCAGGAATCTGCACGCCAAATCTCAAATTCTTTAACAGTAACATTGAGTTTCTAAGCCGAGTGAGCACCCATGGATTAGCACGGAAATACAAAATGCCATAAATGCGTGTGATAGGGCCTATAGAAAGTGGAAACGCTACAAAACAGAATACTTGGACAAGCAATACAGTTCCTTCAGAATAGAAGTAAATAAGTCATGCTGGATAGCTGTAAGGAAATTCTATCAACAGAAATTCAATAATGAGTCATCTGGAAAAGAATTCTGGAAGAATATTACAAGTATTGGAGTAGAAAAACAACGAGAAGGGACAGCTTGCCACATTAATGCTGATGAATTAAATAACACACTTGTAAAATCACAACCTTAAGTACCTGATTAAACTTACAATCCGTACTTGAGCACATTGCCATACAACAAGTGTGATGTCCTACAGTCCATGTTAAGAATAAAATCCAAAATTTTTACTAGTCCTTGTCTCCAGGCTACTCTTAACATAATACACATTTTAAATACCGCAATAACATCTTCTACATTTCTAAAATGTTGGAAGACAGCCAAACTACTTCCCATACAAAAAACAAAGGGTGAATATAGACCGATATCTATACTTTTATTTTTATCTAAAGCACTTAAGCTACTAGTCTCCACACAAATTAATATGTATCTTCACGATAATTCACTGTTGAATACAAGACAACATCGCTTTCGGAAAAACCGTAGTTGTAAAACAGCAATCTTAAAAATCTCATAGGATATTCACACGAAATCTGATAATAGGCAAGTTACATTTCATACACTGCTAGACTATAGTAAGGCTTTCGACATTTTGCAATAAAATAGAAAAACTATACAATTTTTCAAGCTATAAGCTTGATAAGAACATACCTAATGGGCCGATCTCAATGTTTTGTAAAGGAGTCTGAGACCTCCGGCTTTCTATTCACTAAGCGCGGTGTCCCCCAAGGGTCGTTCCTTGGAACATTACTGTTTTCGATATATGTGAATGATCTTCCAAATGTCTGGTCTAATTGTGAAGTGCAGATGTATGCTGACGATATGCAAATATGTATGTGAGCCGTCCCTATAGCTGTATATCTGAAAATATATTGTATATGTACGTCATTAATACTGAACTTAAACTAGTAAGCAATTGAGCAAATAAATCCAAAAAAATCTAAATGTTTGGTTATTTCTAAAAAATAAATAAACGCACCAATGCAAATACTCAGGGTTGATACTGATGAGATTAAATATGTAAGTCAAGCAAATAACCTTGGAATTGTGTTTAACAGTACCCTTTAGTGGTCCCACCATATTAATTATATGGTTGGTAAGACTTGTTGTCAACTACAGCAAATAAAACTGATCCAGAACATGTTACCAACCCATAGTAATGGCATTAGCAAAGTCGATTATAATTCCATCATTATTATATTGCGTTCAAATATTTGAAAAGTGTGACTCAATAAGTAGAAATAAATTGACCGTAACATACAACAACATAGCAAGATTTGTTTTCAATACTAAGCCACACGATTCAATTTCGAGTTATGCTAAAAAAATCTTTGGACTAGACTTTTCCACATTAGTCGAATTTAGGACACCGATTCCTTTCCACAAAATAGTCACCTTGCACTGTCAACCAGAACTAATAGTATAATACCAACAAGAAACCACTACTCCTCGAGAAAATCACTTCTTTGCATGGGCTGTTAAGCTTTGGAATAATTTACCACACAGTTTAAAGAATTCAAGAAGTGCTAGACTGTTTCGAAAAGAATTATTATTAAAGTTAAAAAATAACTAGCCCCCATTCACACACAACTAATTATACATTCAACATTATACTAAATAAGAATTGAAAATTGTACTATTGATAACCATTACCTATAAAATAATCAAAACGTGTATGTTAAAGTAATTTTTGTAAAACTTTCTGTAAGACTGTAAATCTTTTCTTGTGACTAGTGTTTTATATTTAAGTTATATTTTTAACTTTAGCGCTAGAAAGATAAATAAATAATATTAATAATAACAAGACGCAATGAGTATCTTAAATCTGTAGATTCCCTAACCGTCCGTGTCTGTCTGATATTATTTGTTAACTCGCGCGAATTAGCCATGTCGCTGTTAACTTCATCCTTTTTGCTGATTGCGATATGCCAGTTTAAAATATCTGACATAGTCGTCGGCTACTTTCTGTCTCGGTCTTGTTAATCCATAAAATCTATATTTATTATATCTATATACTTAAATATGGCTATATCATAGGCTTATATCACATATGGTAAAAATGTTTCTTTGCATTACATATCGCAAGTCAACTCCGTTGCTTAGTCGAGCTTAAAAGGTATATGCTTATCCACCACGCGAACACTTTTTATCTTAGGGACCCTCTATTAATGAACGATCTCCCAAAGGGGAGATTATAGTAACCTGTGTGGTTCTGTGAGCTTTTGCCAGGCTAGCTAAATCCAGGACCCGCTACAACGATAAATATAACGTCGACTCACATGAACGGAGGCTCAACATTTAACAATACAGTAAGCTGCACGTTGGCATTACAATTTAAATTAAAAACAACTAAAACAACATCTCGCAGCACACTCTTATGTCAACAATTTGTTGGGTATCCGCGGTGGACTGAAAGTTTTATTTCTATTGCAGATAGAATAGAATATAAGTCGGAACGAGCCAGATCGGAAAACTACACACTGTTGCTCCAATAATAATGATAAACAAAAAATAATTTTTAAAAAATCTAACAAAAAATACAACTTATACTCTTGGTAATATCATTGTTTTAATATTTCAGAATTTTGAATACAACTTAAAAAGAAATCGGACGACTGTATCATATAGCTACCATAGGATCTATCCGATAATTAAGGGGAAAATAATATCAAAAAATGTATAGCTTCGTTATTTTTTATCAAATTCTCTTCCACTCCAGTACTTTATCTTTTTAATATTTCAGAATTAAGAATTCAATTTAATTCGAATCGAACTATTGTATCATATAGCTGCCATAGAAAGGATCGGAAAATAAATGTTATATTTCGTTTTCGGTAAGCATATACGGTAGTTAATTAAAATTTACCATTATCTTAATATTTCTGTAATTACTTTTTAGGTTTCTAAGAATCGAACCGCTCTGTACATACAATGGTCCCATTGGAACGACCATAAATTTTTTTTGGATCAATCAATAGGTATTGACGAGACCAATACATTTCAGTTAAAATTTTTTATCTAGCATGAAAACTGTGGGCGTCACAGGTTTGGGCGGCTTGTGGGCGTTAGAGTGGGCGTGGCAAACTTTTTTTTAGATCAATCGATAGGTATTGATGAGGAGAATACATTTCAGTTAAAAATTTTACTCTAGCATCAAAACTGTAGGAGCCACAGTTTTGGGCGGTTTGTGGGCGTAAAAGTGGGCGTGGCACATTGCTGAAACAAACTTGCGCTGCGTAAGAAGCTCAGGAATCTGCACGCCAAATCTCAATAGCCTAGCTCTTATAGTTTCCGAGAGCTCAACGTTCATCCGGACATGGCTACATCGACTCGGCTAGTGATCCTGATCAAGAATATATATACTTTATGGGGTCGGAAACGCTTCCTTCTGCCTGTTACATACTTTCCGACGAATCTAGTATACCCTTTTACACTACGAGTAACGGGTATAAATACTACAAATTCTTTAAAGTGCATTAAAAACAAAGAAAACGCAACAGTCGATGGCCTCGACTATTAGTTACCCGTTACTCAGCTAAAGGGAGTGCGAGAGGGATGGAGCAACTATGCTTTTTCACTAACACACCTAGCCTATACCGTCACCTAGATCGACGTCACCTAGCGCCCCTAGCTCCTTGATTGATTAAAAAAAAAAAAAATCAGCGGCCATCTTGCCGCTAAGGTTCTTAAGTGACATCAGCAATTTCAGGCTACAGTGAGCGCCATCATTTCGATGTAGGGTCTGAACCGTTTAATTGCGTAGCACTCCTCCGTCACGCTATAGTTTCGCTGGCAAGGATTGAGTTTCAGGAAGAAAAATGTTGAGCCTTTACCTTCCTCCGCTTTTTTCGAAGCATTGCATTGGAGAAAATATATCTTCCTAGAGTCTGTAACACTGCCGTTGTCATGAACGCTTCCTTCAGTCGCCTCATAGCTTCCATGGCCTTCTTGATCATTTTGTCTGTCAGTGGGGCTGCCAGCTCCGCAAAATTTTGGAAAAACCTCCTTGCAACTCCTTTGAATCGGCTTATTTTTGATCGCCTCCACCTTGCCAGGATCAATTTTTAAAACTCCTATGCCACTAAAGAATAACAAAGTCCGAAGCTCTTTAAAGCAGAAGTGGTACTTCTTAAGCCCGGTAGTCAGACCTGCTTCATTCGGGCATGGATAGACTTCCCTCAGAGTGTCCTAGTGCTCATCCTACTCCAAATATCTTCAATGTTCTGTTCCGGATATGCATCCTTAACAGTCCTCTGGTTGAGCTTCCTAGCATTCAAGCTTATGCGGTTCTTTCCTGGCTCTTATGACACCAACGGAGCATCTCATCGATTTTCTCGTAGATCAGCTGCTGCTCTGCTGGATAAACCGGATAGTGACGACCTTTGACGGTCGTGGCACCTGGAACCAGCTCTATGGTATGCTTCATCTTCGCAGTTTGCCCCTGTTCATTTTCTTCAAACGACAGAAAGTATTTCCGGACTACCTCCAACTGCTGTTGTCCTCAGCTTCTGATGTTTCGGTTCGGTCATTATAGGCGGGTTTTCCACTTATGGGATGGCTGGGATCTTCTCAATTTCCAAAAACTTCCGGTTCTACGTTGAAACTTTTCCAAATGTCCACTCACAGGTACAGCTCTGGCTCCAATGTAAGGATACGAATAGATAAATGTCCACCGTTCTGATTTTAAGAGTAGTGGGCACTGCGATTCCACCCAATATATTGTACCCCGACCCGTTTGCTTTTCGTACCATTGCGTGATATGGTCGCCATGAGGTGTTCAATTTATTGACCAGCACCCGAAAACCGTTTTTCCAGCAAGCTCACTGATGCTCCCCAGTCCAGCAATCGCATATGGACGAAGATCCTCCTTGCCCATATCCTGCGATCCCGATTGCTGTCACTATTAGCTGTAGTTTCTGTCTGTCCCGTTAACGTTTTCTAAGCCACTTTCAGGACTTCCTCACCCTCTTTGTGATGTCCGTCATCCCAGCCAGCTGATTCTCCCCAAATAATCGACCCCGTACCTCTTTTTATCGCCGTGCTCTATAGGGACATGTAAACCTTGTTAACTGAAACTTCCCGCCCCGATACATTTATGTTTGGAATCCGGTTCGCTATGTTTAGTTTGGTTTGTGTTTTTAAATCTCCTCTTTCTGAACATGCTAAAAACATTCCGAAAAACTGCTTGCAATTGGGGGAATGGGGTGCCGGCATGACGGTCAATACACTATTGTACAAAACTGACGTACTTTAGCGGAGCCACAATGCTTAAATAGGTTACGCGGCTTCTGACAGTTTTATTGGAAACCCACTCGTTGTACAGCCTAGTACTCACACTGGGCCAGAAAGTTTATTTTTTTGACCAAAAATATGTAAGTTCCTCCCTAGGATAGTTAGAAAATATCAGCTTTTTGCCATTATTTCTTAAAAGATTTAACTTTTTATAAACTAAAAATAAAATGTTTTATATTGATATATAACATACATAATCAAAGCCAAAATCCAAAAAAATTGCATACTTTTCGGTTTTTTTATACCCGTTATTCGTAGAGTAAAAGGGTATACTAGATTCGTCGGAAAGTATGTAACAGGCAGAAGGAAGCGTTTCCGACCCTATAAATATATACATTCTTGATAATTGCCAATCTGACTGCCCTAACAGGGACTTACAAAAATGTTGCTTTAACCGGTGATTTCAACAGTAATATTTTCACTGAGTCTCTGCGCAGAACTATGATCCCTCGGACTTCGGCGAACAAATGTCACATTTCCTACCCATTTTTCAAAATCCTCACAAACCTAACTTCACGCATTTTTCGTGGATGGCGCAAGTAAAATCGTTTCATATGACCAGGTATCTGTACCACCATACTCAATCTAATTTAACTCTTTTAACTGGCAAGCATTGTATACAATTCCCAATGTTGGTTCACAGTTAGAATTTGTTATGTGCTAAACGACAAAAATATGCACAAATTGGAATTTAGCAAAGCTGTTTACCTTAAGACTGATAACGATAGGCGAAAAATCGATACAACACTATCGACGACTCGTGAGTTCAGGGAGTCGTGCAGCTTAGACAAGTCATGGAACTGGTTCCTTAAACCGGATAACTCCCAAATGAACCAAGGTTGAAATTCGAAAAGTTTGAGTGGTTTTTGGGCGAAGAGAGGCTTGAAAAATTGAAACAAGCAAGGGTGTTTAAAGGGCAAATATAGTTGGTCGCAGACGGTTCTGGTGGAAAAAAATATATATAAGATTAGAAGTCAAGTTCCTACCCAGTGAGTGATAAAAAAATCCTTGTTAATGTGAGTGGAGTTGAAATATAAATATTTATAGAATATTCCGTGAGGGAAAAGCCTGGATCAGGAAAATATACTGACGTAAGGAGAGACGAAGACCAGCCACCAGGAGGAGATCTACATTTTCGACAAGAAAATTGGCCACTCATCCCCGGGTGGCCCCAGGTTTTTATTCGCCCCTTATATTTGCCACCCAGAATTAGCAAAAGGTTCTCGAAAACTACAAGCGGCAAACAAATTCAACAAGCCAAAAATGAATACAAAAAAATTGAGACTGCTGTTATTGATTATGTAACCCGCCCAAATTAATTTATTCCCACTTATATCCACTTAAATTATTTATTTATTTAACCTATTTATTTACTATTGGAATATTGTTTATTGTTATTTATTTATTTATATATATATATATGTGTTCCCTGTAAAAGTTCGGTACCGTAGGTAGGATTATTAAATGTTAAAATTTAAGAGAAAATTGTGAATTATAACGTGAAAAGAAATGAAGTCGTGTGAGTAGAAATTCGTGTTGGGGGGTGAGATGGGTTAGGCGAGGTAGCACGATCCACCGAACAGGTTTGGGAGATGTGTCCAAAGGATGTTGAAGGATACACTCATGGTTGGGAGGGACTCCAGGACCACAATAAGAGCTGTGTTGTCCAGTTCCAGATGTTCAAGAGAAATCCGTCGTGAAATTGCCGTTGTCTGAGTTTGAATTTCCGTTTTTGTTTTTGTTGTGTCTGCTGCGTAGACAACATTGTTGGTTGTTCCCCTCCCTGGGATGTTCGTTGACTAGCCGTCATCTGCACTGCGCGAAAAGCAGGACACGACAAATTCTTTAACAGTAACATTGAGTTTCTAAGCCGAGTGAGCACCCATGGATTAGCACGGAAATACAAAATGCCATAAATGCGTGTGATAGGGCCTATAGAAAGTGGAAACGCTACAAAACAGAATACTTGGACAAGCAATACAGTTCCTTCAGAATAGAAGTAAATAAGTCATGCTGGATAGCTGTAAGGAAATTCTATCAACAGAAATTCAATAATGAGTCATCTGGAAAAGAATTCTGGAAGAATATTACAAGTATTGGAGTAGAAAAACAACGAGAAGGGACAGCTTGCCACATTAATGCTGATGAATTAAATAACACACTTGTAAAATCACAACCTTAAGTACCTGATTAAACTTACAATCCGTACTTGAGCACATTGCCATACAACAAGTGTGATGTCCTACAGTCCATGTTAAGAATAAAATCCAAAATTTTTACTAGTCCTTGTCTCCAGGCTACTCTTAACATAATACACATTTTAAATACCGCAATAACATCTTCTACATTTCTAAAATGTTGGAAGACAGCCAAACTACTTCCCATACCAAAAACAAAGGGTGAATATAGACCGATATCTATACTTTTATTTTTATCTAAAGCACTTAAGCTACTAGTCTCCACACAAATTAATATGTATCTTCACGATAATTCACTGTTGAATACAAGACAACATCGCTTTCGGAAAAACCGTAGTTGTAAAACAGCAATCTTAAAAATCTCATAGGATATTCACATGAAATCTGATAATAGGCAAGTTACATTTCATACACTGCTAGACTATAGTAAGGCTTTCGACATTTTGCAATAAAATAGAAAAACTATACAATTTTTCAAGCTATAAGCTTGATAAGAACATACCTAATGGGCCGATCTCAATGTTTTGTAAAGGAGTCTGAGACCTCCGGCTTTCTATTCATTAAGCGCGGTGTCCCCCAAGGGTCGTTCCTTGGAACATTACTGTTTTCGATATATGTGAATGATCTTCCAAATGTCTGGTCTAATTGTGAAGTGCAGATGTATGCTGACGATATGCAAATATGTATGTGAGCCGTCCCTATAGCTGTATATCTGAAAACATATTGTATATGTATATGTATTGACGTCATTAATACTGAACTTAAACTAGTAAGCAATTGAGCAAATAAATCCAAAAAAATCTAAATGTTTGGTTATTTCTAAAAAAAAAATAAACGCACCAATGCAAATACTCAGGGTTGATACTGATGAGATTAAATATGTAAGTCAAGCAAATAACCTTGGAATTGTGTTTAACAGTACCCTTTAGTGGTCCCACCATATTAATTATATGGTTGGTAAGACTTGTTGTCAACTATAGCAAATAAAACTGATCCAGAACATGTTACCAACCCATAGTAATGGCATTAGCAAAGTCGATTATAATTCCATCATTATTATATTGCGTTCAAATATTTGAAAAGTGTGACTCAATAAGTAGAAATAAATTGACCGTAACATACAACAACAAAGCAAGATTTGTTTTCAATACTAAGCCACACGATTCAATTTCGAGTTATGCTAAAAAATCTTTGGACTAGACTTTTCCACATTAGTCGAATTTAGGACACCGATTCCTTTCCACAAAATAGTCACCTTGCACTGTCAACCAGAACTAATAGTATAATACCAACAAGAAACCACTACTCCTCGAGAAAATCACTTCTTTGCATGGGCTGTTAAGCTTTGGAATAATTTACCACACAGTTTAAAGAATTCAAGAAGTGCTAGACTGTTTCGAAAAGAATTATTATTAAAGTTAAAAAATAACTAGCCCCCATTCACACACAACTAATTATAAATTCAACATTATACTAAATAAGAATTGAAAATTGTACTATTGATAACCATTACCTATAAAATAATCAAAACGTGTATGTTAAAGTAATTTTTGTAAAACTTTCTGTAAGACTGTAAATCTTTTCTTGTGACTAGTGTTTTATATTTAAGTTATATTTTTAACTTTAGCGCTAGAAAGATAAATAAATAATATTAATAATAACAAGACGCAATGAGTATCTTAAATCTGTAGATTCCCTAACCGTCCGTGTCCGTCTGATATTATTTTGTTAACTCGCGCGAATTAGCCATGTCGCTGTTAACTTCCTCCTTTTTGCTGATTGCGATATGCCAGTTTAAAATATCTGACATAGTCGTCGGCTACTTTTTCTGTCTCGGTCTTGTTAATCCATAAAATCTATATTTATTATATCTATATACTTAAATATGGCTATATCATAGGCTTATATCACATATGGTAAAAATGTTTCTTTGCATTACATATCGCAAGTCAACTCCGTTGCTTAGTCGAGCTTAAAAGGTATATGCTTATCCACCACGCGAACACTTTTTATCTTAGGGACCCTCTATTAATGAACGATCTCCCAAAGGGGACATTATAGTAACCTGTGTGGTTCTGTGAGCTTTTGCCAGGCTAGCTAAATCCAGGGCCCCGCTACAACGATAAATATAACGTCGACTCACATGAACGGAGGCTCAGCATTTAACAATACAGTAAGCTGCACGTTGGCATTACAATTTAAATTAAAAACAACTAAAACAACATCTCGCAGCACACTCATATGTCAACAATTTTTTGGGTATCCGCGGTGGACTGAAAGTTTTATTTCTATTGCAGATAGAATAGAATATAAGTCGGAACGAGCCAGATCGGAAAACTACACACTGTTGCTCCAATAATAATGATAAACAAAAAATAATTTTTAAAAAATCTAACAAAAAATACAACTTATACTCTTGGTAATATCATTGTTTTAATATTTCAGAATTTTGAATACAACTTAAAAAGAAATCGGACGACTGTATCATATAGCTACCATAGGATCTATCCGATAATTAAGGGGAAAATAATATCAAAAAATGTATAGCTTCGTTATTTTTTAACAAATTCTCTTCCAGTCCAGTACTTTATCTTTTTAATATTTCAGAATTAAGAATTCAATTTAATTCGAATCGAACTATTGTATCATATAGCTGCCATAGAAAGGATCGGAAAATAAATGTCAAAATAACACAAAGACCGTTATATTTCGTTTTCGGTAAGCATATACGGTAGTTAATTAAAATTTACCATTATCTTAATATTTCTGTAATTACTTTTTAGGTTTCTAAGAATCGAACCGCTCTGTACATACAATGGTCCCATTGGAACGACCAAAAATTTTTTTTGGATCAATCAATAGGTATTGACGAGACCAATACATTTCAGTTAAAATTTTCTATCTAGCATGAAAACTGTGGGCGTCACAGGTTTGGGCGGCTTGTGGGCGTTAGAGTGGGCGTGGCAAACTTTTTTTTAGATCAATCGATAGGTATTGATGAGGAGAATACATTTCAGTTAAAAATTTTACTCTAGCATCAAAACTGTAGGAGCCACAGTTTTGGGCGGTTTGTGGGCGTAAAAGTGGGCGTGGCACATTGCTGAAACAAACTTGCGCTGCGTAAGAAGCTCAGGAATCTGCACGCCAAATCTCAAATTCTTTAACAGTAACATTGAGTTTCTAAGCCGAGTGAGCACCCATGGATTAGCACGGAAATACAAAATGCCATAAATGCGTGTGATAGGGCCTATAGAAAGTGGAAACGCTACAAAACAGAATACTTGGACAAGCAATACAGTTCCTTCAGAATAGAAGTAAATAAGTCATGCTGGATAGCTGTAAGGAAATTCTATCAACAGAAATTCAATAATGAGTCATCTGGAAAAGAATTCTGGAAGAATATTACAAGTATTGGAGTAGAAAAACAACGAGAAGGGACAGCTTGCCACATTAATGCTGATGAATTAAATAACACACTTGTAAAATCACAACCTTAAGTACCTGATTAAACTTACAATCCGTACTTGAGCACATTGCCATACAACAAGTGTGATGTCCTACAGTCCATGTTAAGAATAAAATCCAAAATTTTTACTAGTCCTTGTCTCCAGGCTACTCTTAACATAATACACATTTTAAATACCGCAATAACATCTTCTACATTTCTAAAATGTTGGAAGACAGCCAAACTACTTCCCATACCAAAAACAAAGGGTGAATATAGACCGATATCTATACTTTTATTTTTATCTAAAGCACTTAAGCTACTAGTCTCCACACAAATTAATATGTATCTTCACGATAATTCACTGTTGAATACAAGACAACATCGCTTTCGGAAAAACCGTAGTTGTAAAACAGCAATCTTAAAAATCTCATAGGATATTCACATGAAATCTGATAATAGGCAAGTTACATTTCATACACTGCTAGACTATAGTAAGGCTTTCGACATTTTGCAATAAAATAGAAAAACTATACAATTTTTCAAGCTATAAGCTTGATAAGAACATACCTAATGGGCCGATCTCAATGTTTTGTAAAGGAGTCTGAGACCTCCGGCTTTCTATTCATTAAGCGCGGTGTCCCCCAAGGGTCGTTCCTTGGAACATTACTGTTTTCGATATATGTGAATGATCTTCCAAATGTCTGGTCTAATTGTGAAGTGCAGATGTATGCTGACGATATGCAAATATGTATGTGAGCCGTCCCTATAGCTGTATATCTGAAAACATATTGTATATGTATATGTATTGACGTCATTAATACTGAACTTAAACTAGTAAGCAATTGAGCAAATAAATCCAAAAAAATCTAAATGTTTGGTTATTTCTAAAAAAAAAATAAACGCACCAATGCAAATACTCAGGGTTGATACTGATGAGATTAAATATGTAAGTCAAGCAAATAACCTTGGAATTGTGTTTAACAGTACCCTTTAGTGGTCCCACCATATTAATTATATGGTTGGTAAGACTTGTTGTCAACTATAGCAAATAAAACTGATCCAGAACATGTTACCAACCCATAGTAATGGCATTAGCAAAGTCGATTATAATTCCATCATTATTATATTGCGTTCAAATATTTGAAAAGTGTGACTCAATAAGTAGAAATAAATTGACCGTAACATACAACAACAAAGCAAGATTTGTTTTCAATACTAAGCCACACGATTCAATTTCGAGTTATGCTAAAAAATCTTTGGACTAGACTTTTCCACATTAGTCGAATTTAGGACACCGATTCCTTTCCACAAAATAGTCACCTTGCACTGTCAACCAGAACTAATAGTATAATACCAACAAGAAACCACTACTCCTCGAGAAAATCACTTCTTTGCATGGGCTGTTAAGCTTTGGAATAATTTACCACACAGTTTAAAGAATTCAAGAAGTGCTAGACTGTTTCGAAAAGAATTATTATTAAAGTTAAAAAATAACTAGCCCCCATTCACACACAACTAATTATAAATTCAACATTATACTAAATAAGAATTGAAAATTGTACTATTGATAACCATTACCTATAAAATAATCAAAACGTGTATGTTAAAGTAATTTTTGTAAAACTTTCTGTAAGACTGTAAATCTTTTCTTGTGACTAGTGTTTTATATTTAAGTTATATTTTTAACTTTAGCGCTAGAAAGATAAATAAATAATATTAATAATAACAAGACGCAATGAGTATCTTAAATCTGTAGATTCCCTAACCGTCCGTGTCCGTCTGATATTATTTTGTTAACTCGCGCGAATTAGCCATGTCGCTGTTAACTTCCTCCTTTTTGCTGATTGCGATATGCCAGTTTAAAATATCTGACATAGTCGTCGGCTACTTTCTGTCTCGGTCTTGTTAATCCATAAAATCTATATTTATTATACTTATTTATTTATATATTATTTATTATTTATACTTAAATATGGCTATATCATAGGCTTATATCACATATGGTAAAAATGTTTCTTTGCATTACATATCGCAAGTCAACTCCGTTGCTTAGTCGAGCTTAAAAGGTATATGCTTATCCACCACGCGAACACTTTTTATCTTAGGGACCCTCTATTAATGAACGATCTCCCAAAGGGGACATTATAGTAACCTGTGTGGTTCTGTGAGCTTTTGCCAGGCTAGCTAAATCCAGGGCCCCGCTACAACGATAAATATAACGTCGACTCACATGAACGGAGGCTCAGCATTTAACAATACAGTAAGCTGCACGTTGGCATTACAATTTAAATTAAAAACAACTAAAACAACATCTCGCAGCACACTCATATGTCAACAATTTTTTGGGTATCCGCGGTGGACTGAAAGTTTTATTTCTATTGCAGATAGAATAGAATATAAGTCGGAACGAGCCAGATCGGAAAACTACACACTGTTGCTCCAATAATAATGATAAACAAAAAATAATTTTTAAAAAATCTAACAAAAAATACAACTTATACTCTTGGTAATATCATTGTTTTAATATTTCAGAATTTTGAATACAACTTAAAAAGAAATCGGACGACTGTATCATATAGCTACCATAGGATCTATCCGATAATTAAGGGGAAAATAATATCAAAAAATGTATAGCTTCGTTATTTTTTAACAAATTCTCTTCCAGTCCAGTACTTTATCTTTTTAATATTTCAGAATTAAGAATTCAATTTAATTCGAATCGAACTATTGTATCATATAGCTGCCATAGAAAGGATCGGAAAATAAATGTCAAAATAACACAAAGACCGTTATATTTCGTTTTCGGTAAGCATATACGGTAGTTAATTAAAATTTACCATTATCTTAATATTTCTGTAATTACTTTTTAGGTTTCTAAGAATCGAACCGCTCTGTACATACAATGGTCCCATTGGAACGACCAAAAATTTTTTTTGGATCAATCAATAGGTATTGACGAGACCAATACATTTCAGTTAAACTTTTTTATCTAGCATGAAAACTGTGGGCGTCACAGGTTTGGGCGGCTTGTGGGCGTTAGAGTGGGCGTTAAAAATTTTACTCTAGCATCAAAACTGTAGGAGCCACAGTTTTGGGCGGTTTGTGGGCGTAAAAGTGGGCGTGGCACATTGCTGAAACAAACTTGCGCTGCGTAAGAAGCTCAGGAATCTGCACGCCAAATCTCAATAGCCTAGCTCTTATAGTTTCCGAGAGCTCAACGTTCATCCGGACAGACGGACATGGCTACATCGACTCGGCTAGTGATCCTGATCAAGAATATATATACTTTATGGGGTCGGAAACGCTTCCTTCTGCCTGTTACATACTTTCCGACGAATATAGTATACCCTTTTACACTACGAGTAACGGGTATAAATACTACAAATTCTTTAAAGTGCATTAAAAACAAAGAAAACGCAACAGTCGATGGCCTCGACTATTAGTTACCCGTTACTCAGCTAAAGGGAGTGCGAGAGGGATGGAGCAACTATGCTTTTTCACTAACACACCTAGCCTATACCGTCACCTAGATCGACGTCACCTAGCGCCCCTAGCTCCTTGATTGATTAAAAAAAAAAAATCAGCGACCATCTTGCCGCTAAGGTTCTTAAGTGACATTAGCAATTTCAGGCTACAGTGAGCGGCATCATTTCGATGTAGGGTCTGAACCGTTTAATTGCGTAGCACTCCTCCGTCACGCTATAGTTTCGCTGGCAAGGATTGAGTTTCAGGAAGAAAAATGTTGAGCCTTTACCTTCCTCCGCTTTTTTCGAAGCATTGCATTGGAGAAAATATATCTTCTTAGAGTCTGTATGACGCAACACTGGCGTTGTCATGAACGCTTCCTTCAGTCGTCTTATAGCTTCCATGGTCTTCTTGATCATTTTGTACGTCAGTGGGGCTGCCAACTCCGCAAAATTTTGGAAAAACCTCCTTGCAACTCCTTTGAATAAGCTTATTTTTGATCGCCTCCACCTTGCCAGGATCAATTTTTAAAACTCCTATGCCACTAAAGAATAACAAAGTCCGAAGCTCTTTAAAGCAGAAGTGGTACTTCTTAAGCCCGGTAGTCAGACCTGCTTCATTCGGGCATGGATAGACTTCCCTCAGAGTGTCCTTATGCTCATGCTACTCCAAATATCTTCAATGTTCTGTTCCGGATATGCATCCTTAACGGTCCTCTGGTTGAGCTTCCTAGCATTCAAGCTTATGCGGTTCTTTCCTGGCTCTTATGACACCAACGGAGCATCTCATCGATTTTCTCGTAGATCAGCTGCTGCTCTGCTGGATAAACCGGATAGTGACGACCTTTGACGGTCGTGGCACCTGGCACCAGCTCTATGGTATGCTTCATCTTCGCAGTTTGCCACAGTTCATTTTCTTCAAACGACAGAAAGTATTTCCGGACTACCTCCAACTGCTGTTGTCCTCAGCTTCTGATGTTTCGGTTCGGTCATTATAGGCGGGTTTTCCACTTATGGGATGGCTGGGATCTTCTCAATTTCCAAAAACTTCCGATTCTACGTTGAAACTTTTCCAAATGTCCACTCACTGGTACAGCTCTGGCTCCAATGTAAGGATACGAATAGATAAATGTCCACTGTTCTGATTTTAGGAGTAGTGGGCACAGCGATTCCACCCAATATATTGTACCCCGACCCGTTTGCTTTTCGTACCATTGCGTGATATGGTCGCCATGAGGTGTTCAATTTGTTGACCAGCACCCGAAAACCGTTTTTCCAGCAAGCTCACTGATGCTCCCCAGTCCAGCAATCGCATATGGACGAGGATCCTCCTTGCCCATATCCTGCGATCCCGATTGCTGTCACTATTAGCTGTAGTTTCTGTCTGTCCCGTTAACGTTTTCTAAGCCACTTTCAGGACTTCCTCACCCTCTTTGTGATGTCCGTCATCCCAGCCAGCTGATTCTCCCCAAATAATCGACCCCGTACCTCTTTTTATCGCCGTGCTCTATAGGGATATGTAAACCTTGTTAACTGGAATTTCCCGCCCCGATACATTCATGTTTGGAATCCAGTTCGCTATGTTTAGTTTGGTGTGTGTTTTTGAACCTCCTCTTTCTTGGAACACTGATTGTCCGCTGAACATGCTAAAAACATTCCGAAAAACTGCTTGCAATTGGGGGAATGGGGTGCCGGCATGACGGTCAATACACTATTGTAACAAAACTGACGTACTTTAGCGGAGCCACAATGCTTAAATAGGTTACGCGGCTTCTGACAGTTTTATTGGAAACCCACTCGCTGTACAGCCTAGTATTCACACTGGGCCAGAAAGTTCCTTTTTTTGACCAAAAATATGTAAGTTCCTCCCTAGGATAGTTAGAAAATATCAGCTTTTTGCCATTATTTCTTAAAAGATTTAACTTTTTATAAACTAAAAATAAAATGTTTTAGATTGATATATAACATACATAATCAAAGCCAAAATCAAAAAAATTGCATACTTTTCGGTTTTTTTATACCCGTTATTCGTAGAGTAAAAGGGAGTACTAGATTCGTCGGAAAGTATGTAACAGGCAGAAGGAAGCGTTTCCGACCCTATAAATATATACATTCTTCATCAGAATCACTAGCCGAGTCGATCTAGCCATATCCGTCTGTCCGTATGAACGATGAGATCTCGGAAACTGTAAGAGCTACAATACTGGGATTAGGCATGCAGATTCCTGAGATTCCTGCGCAGCGCAAGTTTGTTTCAGCAGGGTGCCACGCCCACTCTAACGCTTACAAACCGCCCAAAACTGTGGCTCATAC